GTTGTAATTTCTAAAATAATGAATTTTCATTTAATTAGAATTTCAGTGTATGTTCACATAAAGAATAGCATAAACATCACTGGCTAGCTTTTTTTTTATCTCCCAGAGATTTGAATTTCTCTTTGACAAAGTTTATAGTTTTAGCCTCCCAGTTCCACTGGAAGCAGACCAGTTGGCTTATAATCCTTGCTTAATAGTCTCATTAACTTTCATTATGCAAATGGTAAGTGGAGCAAAAACTACAAAATTGTTCAGACAAGTGTAACCTTCAGATTTTACATCCAGGAAAACTTATATTTAAATTAAAAGGCTACAAGTTTTGAATATACAAAAAAATCGAAGAACACTACTTTAAAGAACTTTTTTTGAAGAAATTACCAGACAACAAACTTTATTCAACAATTTAAAATCTAAAAAACTAGGACATAAAGCCAGGTACAAAATTTTGAATATGCTAAGCATAATTTTAGGGTCATTAAACTGCGTTAAGATATAAAACACAGGTTAAATGTAGGGTTTTCCATGCAAAGTAGGGTAAAATGCCATGACGAAGCGGTGAGGACAGAAATGTACTCCATTTCCATCCAGCAGTAGGTTAGATGGCTCTATTGAACCTGTTACTGAAAACAAACCCACACATCAGGTAAATGTCTCTGAAAACACCTGGCTGATCAATAAAAATTAATCCCCAAACCATACCGAAAACTGAGAATCTATAACTCAGAAGACACTGGAAATCCACTCCAAGAAAGAAAGAAAATTGGAAAACAAGAGAAATAAATAAATAGAAATCATTGTTCACCAGTTTTTATTCCAAAGGCTTGAGTTCTTTTTTCAATGCAGAAATATAGCTTCTGTGGTGCAGTTGTGAGGACGACAAGTCAAGAGTTCACCCTGTGATAATTTATACACCTAACTTAAGGCCAAAGGGTTCAGGGTAATAGGTAAACAGTTTTTTAAAAATTCACTATGAACAGATGTGAGAGAAAAGACTTGTGAATCTGTACTGGCCATTAGGGCTTTTTCTTTGTATATTTAAAATTTTACAGTTTTACTATGATATGTCTAAGAGTTGATGATTTTAGCTCCTGATTTATTTCAGGAGCTACAGCAGTCATTTGAAATATTTGTTTTTCATACCCATAAAACTGCTTTCTTCTGATAGATTAGCAAAGAGAAAGGAAGAACAGAATTAGATAATTTCTTTCAGCAAATTTCAAGACTTATTATAAAGCTACAGTGATCATGAAAATGTGGATTGGTACCAGGTGGTACACAGAAATTAATAGAATCAAATAAATTATGCAAATAAAAATAGTAAATTAATTTTTGGTACACACCATTGCCATTTTATGATAAAAAGAAGTTTTAAACAAATGATGCTATATTAAAAAATAAAAACTTCAATATCTACTTCATTGTCTATATAAAAATTGATTTGGAACTATATCATAGACCTACACGTACTAGCTACAAAAATACAAAACTTTTAGAAGAAAATATAGAAGAATTTATTGCTTACAAAACAGTTGTAATTAATGATTCTTTATGTATCATAAAAGCAAAACAGAAAATTAATCCCCCAAATTAAAAATTAATGAAATCAAGGCATATGACTATGAAGTCAGTGAACAATTCAACACACTAAAAGGGAAATCTAGATTTTGTTAGTACTTCTTCAAGTAAAAATGGATGGAGATTGGAATACATGCTTCAGCAATAAATATGTACAAGTGACTGGTATGTTTGTGAAAATAAGATTAGTCATCAGGGAAATGGCTTACAACAAATGATCAACCACTCAGGCAGAGCACTCTTCTGCCATTTTCAGAATGCCCTAACATTTGCTTCAGTAATGCCTGGAAGGGTAAGAAGAAGCCATCCATCAAGTGTCACTAGAGACCAGACCCCTACTTTAAAATGACTCAGTTGTTGCTTTGCTTATCTGTGTTGCTAAATGGACCAGACCATCCCACGGCAGTAGGTTATTGCACCTCATTCCTTTTAGAGGAGCTTTACATGCTCTGTTCTGGACCCTGGATGCCTCAGCAATGTGAAGAATTATGTGCAGGGCCTGCAGATACTCACTCCAGGCATGGACTCTCTAAACTACATGATGGCTCTGGGCGAACTAGGTTGTTAAAGCTCCACAATGTTAAATTTGGAATCTGCAGCAATGATTGAAAAATACAGTATGTGTGTGTGCATGTGCATGTGTGTGTGTGTGTGTGTGTGTGGGGAGTCCATATACAAAGTTTCAGGCTTTTTATCCTTCACTAATTTTTAAAAATTACTTACAGTGTATTTTAATTAGCCATGGTAAGGCATAAAGTCACAGGCAGGATTAGAAGGAAGAAGTTTTTATACTTACAGACTCCTAGAAACAGTAAGTATGGCACATTGCACTGGGATGGGAGAAGCAGTATGATTGGTTACATAACAGAAAAGAGGAGACAGCGTAGACCAGAGCCTTCATCATGGTTTAGTGGATGAGGCAGGGCAACATGTTTAGGGTTACTTTGTCTAAATAATTTCAGTGAACTTTGAGATATAGACACAGTCCCTGGTTGCTTGGTACATGTCTGTAGGGTGACCAGAACAGAAGAATAATAGCCTGTAGTGTAACAACCCTTTCAGTGTCTGACAAAATAAGGGGTTGCACTGTAGGCTCTGGATTAGATGCAGGAGAGGTCTTTACTAACTGTAAGAATCACTTTTCCTAGAAGGGTACTTTCTCCAGTGGTGGGCATGTCCAAGATATTGAAACACCAGAATTGCAGAAATAAAAAAGTGCTTTTATTTTGCAGGTACTTGCTTAATCTTCTCTAAGAAATGTACATCCTATGAACATGTATGTACATGAGTGTGATATGTGAATCACAGGTGCCACAAAGAAGTGTAGAGACAGATACATGAAGGGAAGACAGTGTATCAAAAACAGTAGGTTGGACTGAGTGCCATATAATAAACAGTCAAGAGGAGGATGGAAATGGATGAAAGGGCATGAAATACAAAAAGGCACAATGGATGAACCTGAAACATCTATACCCTTATACATTTATTGTATGAACAATAGGCATCCTTAATTTCTGCAAAAGTGGGAAATAACCAATTGCACAACAATGTGAAAGATCCATGCAACTTAAGAGTAAGTAGTGAGGGCTGGGAGATTTAGCTCAGCAGCATAAGCGCCTGTTTTGCAAGTGCATGGTCGTGAGTTCGATCCCCAGTACCAATATAAAAAAAAGAGTAAGTAGTGATTCCTAATCTACTTTTCTAATAGGCTTTTGCACAAGAGTGCTAAATATTAAGGACTACAAATGGTTAAGTGCAAGGGAAAAAGAAAGAAAGAAAGAGAAAAAGAAAGAAGAAAGAAAGAAAGAAAGAAAGAAAGAAAGAAAGAAAGAAAGAAAAAGGGAAACAGAGAGAGAGGGAGAGACAGAGAGGGAGAGATACAGAGGTAGAGACAGAGAGAAATTAAGAAAGAAAGAAAGGAAAGAGAAGAGAAGGAGGAAGAAAGGAAAAAATAAGCCCAATTTTGGTGATGCAATATGTACATTTTTATACTTTTGCTTAGGATACAATGTCTTCTTGCATGTGTGTATATGTGCGTATGTGTTCAGATATGTGTTTCATATGACTGTATATGTCCATACATTATACTATATGCTTTTTTGTAATTCTATAATTTAGCCATGCATGGAAATCATGTATTAGTTAATCTACTAGGATTATATTTACAAAGGCAAAATTTTGATGTCTCAAGTGGAACTACTATTGTAAATGCTTTCTTTCTTTTCTTCATATAGGAATTTTCTGATTATTTTTCTTACTTTCCTCCTCCTTCACTTTCTATTTACTTTTAGTCAAACTTAAAGAACCTCTTTTTCTAGCTATTATTCATTTTATATGCAGCAAAAATATTGTAATTCAAAGTATATGAGATATTGTTCTCTATGAAACAGATGGCAGTATTTTTCTGTAACTCAAAACACTTCAGGTTTTAAAATTTGCAGCTCAGGGGCTGGGGATTTAGCTCAGTGGCATAAGCACCTGCCTTGCAAGCAGGCAGTCATGAGTTCGATCCCCGGTACTGCTAAAAAACAAAAACAAAATTTGCAGTTCAATCATAAATCCTTTTGAATATGTACCAGCAACATATATACTTTGTTTGTGTATTTCATATTTAATTTTCCATGATTTTATTTAAACTCTAAAACTGAAAAATAGTACTTCAAAGAAGAGAATACAATAATATACAATATTTATAAAATTCTACTTTATTGTTTTCATGTTGGTAAATTATCACGTTCACCCCTGTGGTTGATATATTCCAAGTTTTGAAATCACTATAGAGACAAGCATAGAGAAAATGTATGAAGACTTTCTTTCAAAGAGACCACAAATCTTTTAGACCAAGTTGATGGTCCAGTGTTCTATAGAGAAAATAAATACATTTCCAGAAAGCATAGTTTTTATTTTTACTTTTTTTAGGTCAACATTCTTGTGGTATAATTTACATGTAACAAAAACGAATCAATTGACATACAGTTCAATAATTTTGGTAAATAAACTGGCATGTTAAACCATGATAAGGTATTAAACATTTTTGACACCGCTACAATTTTTCTTTTTTTTCTGTCAATCCTCCACCCATCAGAGGAGTTTTCATACATGAGAGAAATCTTGTTCTCAATTAGAACATATTTTCCTATTCAGGAAGGTCAGGAATAAATCCAGGGCAACTGCATTCTCATCAATGTGATAGAATAAGAATAGTTGAAGAAAATAAAAGATCTAATCAGAAGACAGAGTGTAGCTTTATAACTGAACTTTTCCCAGTTATGAAATGTAGAAATGTAACAGAGAAGAGATTCTCAAATTATGGAGAGAGATGGCATAATAAAGATGTGGTACATTTGCCTTTTGCTAAAGATTTGATCTTGATGTAAGACATGGAAATGAACTGTCAGATCTCTGATATGCTGCTAGAATAGGAGATGCAGATAGAAAACAGCACGGTGGTGACAGAATTCATCCTTCTTGGTCTGACTCAGTCTCGAGAGATTTAGCTCTTGGTCTTTGTATTGATTTCAGTTTTCTACCTCATCATTCTCCCTGGAAATTTCTTCATCATCCTCACCATAAGGTCAGATCTTGGGCTCTCAGCACCCCTCTATTTCTTCCTGGGCAACTTGGCCTTTCTGGATGCATCCTACACCTTCATTGTGACTCCCAAGATGCTGGTACACTTCCTGTCCAGAAGAAGGTCATATCCTATAGAGGCTGCATCACCCAGTTGTTATTCTTGCACCTCCTTGGAGGAGGGAAGGCCTTCTTGTCATGATGGCCTTTGACTGCTACATGGCCATCTGCCAGCCTTTACACAGTGCAACTGTCATAGCCCTAAAGCCTGCTATGTAAGACTACTGGACTGGCTCTGTGGCTTGGAGGCTTTGTTCACTCCATTATTCAGGTGGCCCTCATACTGAATTTGCCTTTTTGTGGTCCAAACCAGTTGGACAACTTCTTCTGTGATGTGCCACAAGTCATTGAGCTAGTCTGCACAGATAACTTTGTGGTAAAGCTTTTGATGGTCTTCAACACTGGCCTAATGGCCCCCATGTGTTTTCTGGGGCTTCTGGCCTCCTATACTGTCATTCTATGCCATATACATGGCTCTTCATCTGAGGGAAAGAATAAGGCCTTGTCCACATGCACCACGCATATCATAGTTATGTTCCTCATGTTTGGGCCTGGCATATTCATCTATACTTGCCCATTCAAGGCTTTCCCTGCTGACAAGGTGGTGTCTTTCTTCCACATAGTCATCTTTCCTTTGTTGAATCTTGTAATTTATACACTTCACAACCAAGAAGTAAAAGCTTCTATGAAGAAGTTGTTTAATCTTCACATAGTGTGATAAAAAGGGAACATGGAATAGGAAAATCAGGGCTCTGAAACAGCATCATTTGCAAAATACTGCATTTATCAAGCACTTCCCACTAGTCAGGAGTATTCCAGACAATGGAGAAAGAATTATCCATAAGGCAGATAAAGTTATTGTTATGTAGGCTATCATCTAGTGGGAATAGATAGCTATTAAAATAGAAAATTAACAACATGCCTTCTCTGAAAGAGACTAAAAGAAAAAGTGAAGCAATAGATTGTACTTCTTGCTAGGAATAATTGATTCATTTTTCTTTTCCAAACAAAGCTTTCTTGGAACCTGACACTTTGGTTAACATAAGTAAACTGAAAGAAGCAACCATTCAAACCTCTAGAACAGCAATTTAGACAAATGGGAATAAACAGGGAGAAAATCTGAAGATGATAATAAAGTTGGTATATTTGAGGAACTGAGGAAAATTGAAGTTGGCTGGTATATCATAACATTATTATACATTAATATGAAAATAATTTAAAATATGAAAATTATTAGAGTTGGAGATACTGCAAATGTACAAATAATACGTGGTCCACAAAGTCAATAGAAAGGCTTAATTTTATTATAATTGCAGTAGGAAGACATTTTAAGTCTTTAGGCAACAGAGTGAGCTTTCTACTTTAGTCTGCAAATGACTTAGGGCTGTACATTTAAGATTATGAGTGGATATCATAGAATTGGAAAGTAGGGTGGAGTTTAGCAAACATGGTAGATAGATAATCAGCAGAATACATAGGCTCCCAGAGACAGACAACTCAGATGCCAAAATAAAACATTGTGAGGAGGCCCGGACAGAGGGAGATGGATCCTCTCAACCAAGGAAGAAACTACAAGGAAAAAAACTGGTCAAACATGAATTCCTGGGGCTACTATGGGAACAGCCAAGATTTGGTGCTCTTACTGCAGTGCCTGAACTCACTCTGCCACAACACATCAAGATGCCCGATTTCCCACCGCTTTGACTCCCTGGAACCACAGTTGCACTGAAGTGCAGTTACATTGAAGTTGGAGGTTGGTGAGCCGCACAAGGAATGGAGCCAGCAAGGGATCTGCATTGACCTTTGGTGAGTGTTGGGAATAAGACTCTTCCACAGAAAAGGGGCACCAATGGGATGACAGTTTGGAATCAGGCAGGCCTGGCAGTAACAAGGAACAGCAGTGACTTCAGTCAGTTGTTCCCTCCCCATACCAGATAGGTGGGATATGCTTGGTTTGAGCACGCCTCTGGCTGGGACCCAATAAGTTGTCCCAAACCAAGTCCCTGTGCATGGTGCACACTAACACAGTGAAGGCCCCTGTAGGTTGACTGACCTGGAGGGTAGGGGTCAGCATATGCAGCCTCTGTTTGACATCAATAACACACTGTGCTATCCAGTGCACTTCAGAAGAGCTATAACCAATAAGGAAAGGGGCTGGGACCTCCTCTACACACCTGTATGAAAGAAACCAAAAACATGACAAAAGGAAGAAACAATGAAAAGTCCCAGCCCCCAGCACTGAGAACACTGATTCAGGAAAGTTAAATACAAAAGAGACTGAGGGCAGCAAACATGCAATACTAGACACGGCATCAGTGGGCATAAAGAGGTATCTTCAGGACCTCATATATGAGCTAACAGTGAAATATTTAATCAAGTAAAGCAAGATATAATTAAATTAATAAAAGAAATGCTAAGCACCTCTTAAGAAGACACAGATAGAAGAATGGAGGAACACAAAAAAAGGAGAGAAATGTTCAATGAAGAATATGAAGAAAACAGAATACAAGAAACAGTTTCAAAGAGATTACTAGGAAATAAAAAACTCTATTGAAATCTGGCAAAACTGTTTGAAAGAAACTAAGGATAGACTATCAAAACTTGAGGACAGGTTTACAATGTGTGATCATGAAAGGAAAATTTTCTTAAAAATATCAAGGAAATAGGCATTAACAATACAAAGGCTAGAAGATGACAAGAGGATCTGTAACCTAAGAATAAAGAATGTGAATGAAGAAGCAGAGGTAAAAAAAAAAAAGAACTACAAGGGCTATTCATAGAAATAATTAAGGAAAACTTCTCAAGCATAGGAAAAGGAAATGATATTCAGGGGTATGAGGCATACAGAACTCCAGCCACCTACAACCAACACAGAGCCACACTCAGACATGTAATAATCAAGATCTCAGAAATACAATATAAGAAAAGAATATTAAAAACCACCAGAGAAAAGAAACCAGATCACCTATAAAGGAAAACCCATCAAAACCACAGCAGACTTCTCAACACAGACCATCAATTTAAGAAGAGTTTGGAGTGAAATATTGCAAGCCCTGAAAGAAAATAACCTGCAGCCCAGATTAATTAATGGAGAAACAAGATGCTTCCAAGATAAAGAGGAACTGGAGGAATTTGTGAACATCAGTCCAACCCTGCAGAGAATACTGAAGGACATTCTAGAGAGAGAGAAAAGTACCAGGATTTCAGGAACAGTGGCAGGGAGGCCTCAATGAATGGAGCAGAAAGTGAATGAAGGAGAAAAGCAGACAACTAATGGCAGAAAAAGAGCACAACAGAAATGAGGCAGAAAAGATTGGCTATAATCTCTAATATAGATGGCCTTGATACACTAAAAAAATAAAAAGAAAATAAGAGAGAGAAACACAGGCAGAGTAGATCAGGAGGTAGGGCCCACCAAGATGCTCTATAGAAAATATAATTAACCTGAAAAAGGGTTTATGGACCAAAAAGCAAATACGAGAAAGCAATGCTCTATGTGACAGGGAACCAGAGAGTAATAAGGGCAACTTGACCAGTATTTATAGATAGGTGGGAAAGACAGGCTTTTTAATAGGGAAAGGAATACAACTTGAGATCAAGTCCAGAAGAGAGAAGGTTTTGGATTTACTTAGGTAAGTAGCAGGTTGCCCCCACCCCCATCCAAAAACTGAGGGAGGTGGTGAGACCCAAAAGTGCACAGTACACCCTGGGGCAGTGAAAGGAGAGGAATAGTCTTAAAAAAGAACTCAGAGGATATTGTTAATAGTGTACCAGGATTTAAAACCCACATTACTTACACCTCTGCTCAGATAGATTAAATTCTGTCCCAGTTTGTTTACTTGCACTAGATCTGAGGGCACATACAGCTATCCCAAAAATAACAGGATATGGTACAGTAATCATTATTAATTTCATATTAACTTAATCTGGAGCCCTGCATAACTTATACTGTTTTATTATGACTGATCTTAGTTAAATTTGGTTTGTTTGATTGCTGGTTGGTATTGACAGATTTTATTCAAAACTGATATGATTGAGAGTATAGGCAACTACCCTGAAGATGACAAGATTCACTACAATATCCATTCTGGCTTGATTATTAGTTGTTTTGAAGTTTTACACTATCTATGAAGTTTTGTTTTTATTAATATTGTTATGTGCTGCTAAATTCTATTATACTATGTCTGAAGATATAGCCAATTCTATTGAAGATAACAAGAGACAACACTGTAACCATTGTAGAACACCTTGTATAGTGGTTTTATATGACTTTTCATTTCAGGTGTTTATAGGCAAATGTTTTGCTTTGTCTTGCTTTGATTTGTTTCTCCCTCCAATATAGAAAGGATAGGAATACATGTTGAGACTCATGCATGTGTAGAACCTATAAACAGTTTACAAGAAGTAATCTTATCATGATTGGTGCAATTAACAACTATTTTAAAGTAAAAGAGACACTACAGTTCCCAGTGCTGATTCCATAGAGTCATGATGTGAAATCCAGCAATACTACTATTCTTTGTTCAGAATGATTTTAGCCTGCTTTGGTTTGTTTAATCTTAACATAAATCAAAGTATGGAAAACTGCATGCATGTTTAAGTGTATAAGATTGATAACATATTACTAAGTTTTTGTTGTATAGTTGAAAAGAACTGTTTGTAGTCCCCCTGTTTGAATCCCCACTTTGTATGCTTCACTTCTGTAACTTGAACAACTATTTGTAAGAGGACAATATGTAATCATCAACTAGTGATTTCTTACTGTTTATTTTTTCTTTGAAAATATGTATTTTTTTTCTTTGAAAGTATGTATTATTTCTACTCTTTTTCTTTTTCTTTAGTCTTTATTTAAATAAAATAGAAAAAAAAAAAACCTCGAGAAGACATCCCTGAATAACAATTTTTCCTAGAGAGGCCTAGATACTACTGATATAGGTACCTGCTATAAAATCTGACAAGGATCGTCACAGAACATAAAATAAAAACTTTTGTAAAATAGAAAACGACAACACAAAGAATCACAATGCATTCATAGACCTCCAACCTACCCAGAACAAATTCAGAAGACTTAGACATAGAAGACATTGGAAGATAAACACATGAAAATTCTGAAATAATAGCAACTGAAGTATACAAACAAATACATGAAGTCATATAGGAAATCAGATTAGAAATAATCTCTCAGGTTAAAAAAATGTCAGCAACCATAAAGGAATTGCTCATCAAATCTGAAGTGAAGATAGATAAAGTAATAGTTGATGACAGGAAGAGGCTAGAAACCATGAATGATCCAAACAGGAAATGAATGGACTGCATGCAATGGAGTCAAATAGATACCAAGGAAGTCAAAACTTGCTTTGAAAGCTGGCAAAATCTCTTTAACAAATCTGAAGACAGATCTTCAGTCCTTAAAGATGTATCTATAGCTAGTGATTATGAAAGGAAAGATCACTTGAAAATAACAAAAGATTAGGAAATAGCAATTCAACAGCTGTATAATGACACCAAGACTACTAATATAAAAATAATTGGTGTCAGTGAAGAAGCAGGAAACAAAATAAAAGGCATAAAAGCATATTTGAGGAACTAAAAGCAGAAATTTCTGAAGCATGAGAAAATAATCTGACACAGCAGAAATTTCCAAAGCATGAGAAAATAATCTGAAATAGATACATAAATACAATTAGCCATAACCAAAATACATAAATACATATATAT